ATATATATATATATATATATATATATAGAGAGAGAGAGAGAGAGATATAGATAGATAGATGATAGACCGACAGATAGATAGATAGATAGATAGATAGATAGACAGATAGATAGATATTCTTGTTTATATCTTCAGTTTTTTAATATAATATATAAATTATTGCTGTTTGTTGTTTAATATTTTGCAACAATATTATGTAGCATGTAACAATTGAACTACAAATTTGCTTAAATTGTTTTGTGGAATTACAGGGTTTGCGTAATTGCATCATCATGGCAAGAAAATTTAAATGCACAAAAAGTTAATAAGCATCTTTTTCTTCGAAAAAAAAAAAACGTTACATGCATGATGCATATTGTTTATGTCTTGTTAAAATACTGTTTTAATAGTAAAACAACAATTCTAGATTGGCCCCCATACACTCCCAGATTTTTGATTTTCTTTAAAGAAATAGAAGAAGAATTCAAAATCAATTTGATAAAAATTATGCCACAATTGATCTTAAAGGTATGCAACCAAGAATATTCCTTTAACATCCCCAGTAAGAATATTATCAGAGTGGAGAAGGCTGCAAAAGTTCAATCTAACATAGCTCTATGGGATAAGGTTTTGCAGACCTTAGGATTCTTAAATACAGTATGTACAATTTTTCATTATGACATGACTAATCTATGACATTTGTTATGATATTCTCCAGATTTCTCAGAGACTCTGGAAATCAAGCCTATATAACTAATCCATTTTGTCTCGAGTGGCACATGACCGGAAAGGTACAGTGTGTCCTGTGCGCTTATCAAGCCATGCCTGTATACTGTATAAACAAACTAGCTCCTATCAGCTCCTACTAATGTGACATATACTGCCATCTAGCGGAATACAATAGAATATTATAAAGCAGTTATAATAACAGTTCTGAAATATAACTAGATGCTTCACGTTGGAAACAATAGCCAATACATAAAACCTATCAAATTCAATATCCATTTTTGTTTTATTTTTAAGTTACAGCAACTAACATAAGAAAAGGCAGACAAGGAATGATTAAAATAAATATAATGAAATCATTTGTTAGTGAAAAACACAAGTTAACAAGTTCATGAGGGCATTTTAATGCATATAATGTGGCTACCGGAAAATATGTTAATTGATAATGTATCAAGAGATCTACAGTCTCAAACATGAAGACAAATGATAACTGCCCTGCCAACATTAGAAAGTTGGCATCAGTGAGACAGAGGAGCATCTAAGAGTTGGCCCCCGTCCGAGGGCCTTTCATGACGAAGGTCTTTGCCTCATCATCAATCTCATCCATGATTCTCTCCTGCCTGACTGAGAGAATGGTGTAGCTGACTGATGCAGGGGTTAAGGCCATTACGTCATACAGCTAGAGATATAATAACTTATTAGTTAATACTTGGCTTGATTGATTTGTAGTTATTAATAGTTGGTGGGTAGGTATTCGTTCATAAAATTGTAATCATACCATTTTGGTAGAGACTCAACAAACATATTAGGTCACGATTCACCTGAAAATGTGCTAATAATAACATTTTACAGACACAAAAGTCATGATGCTACCATTTATTTCACTATGGTCATACCATGTCTTTTTGTCCCATGGTAATATTTAATATATCATACAAATATCATGGTACATGACTATGGGAATCATTATTTAACATTAATTTTGATATATCAAGGAATCATATCACAAACATCATTGTCCTTTGCTACTCTTGCGAAAAGGTTATTATGACTTTACCTTAAAATCATAAGGAAAAATCATAATAAAATGAAAAGTAATAACGTTAGCCTTTAGAGTTTTCAAGACAGTCCTGTAAATGTGTAAAATTTAATCAGTGGTTAATACCACGTAAACACAGTTTTACTGTAGTAACTGGGAGTCGGAAAGCATGAACAGTACCTACATTGACTGCATTTTTAAATTAAATGTGCAAAAAGATGTTTATCACTTATTAAACTAAACCAGGTGAGGCTGAACTGTCCTGTTATGAAACTATGAAGGATACATAGGCCCAGCACAAAGGCTCCGATGGTCAGGCCCGTGATCAAATTACGGCTTCGCAGTTGTTTTGAGTACCTCTTCCAGTGATCCAGTTCCTGCTGTCTTTTAAGGAGCCGTGTCTGAGCAGGTGTAAGAGGCTTTGGCGCTGTTGAGGACGCGTCCTCGGTCTTTCCCTCCATGTTTGTCTCGTGTTGTGTGACGTTCCGCGCTGCACCAATCAAATAAGCCATACGCGGACACGTCAGATGCCTCGATGCGAACAACCAGGAGGTGTCGCTGTGGAACTATGAGGAATAGGACTTGACAGAAATTAAATGAAAACTCCTGGCCCTCATTTAATCGACTGCTATTTCACTATGGACGGCCAAACCTGAAATTCTACATTTATTTCCTAATGGAAAATATTTCACAAAATTAAGTTCTGAACTTATATTTCTCATTTATTTTGTTCTCATTTCTCATGTGTAACAGTTACATACTGTAAAACATAGGCCTTCTTACTGAAATTTACTATGACTCTCATTTTAGCCCATAAAAAGACATCATTCTAAACATAGTTTTAATACATGTTTTTATGTTTAATGAATTTGTCTTAAGCATCTAACAAAGCCACCTTAAACTTGACCAGTATATTATAGCATTGTATATTGTAGTGTAACGTAAAAAATTAAAATAAACACTATATCACATATTTTTTAAACATTTGGAGAACTGGTGATTGAAAGCTGGAAAATATTTCAGGAAACAAAGACAAGAGCCAAAGAGTGAAAATGAAGGCACCGTATTTATTTATAATTTCTCACATTGCATTGATCTATAGTCCAGTGGTAATATCTATTCTCTATTTTAAATTGATGTACACACTTTTATCTGACAAAATGACTGTATATATGCACTCTTATAATACTAAAAACATTTTTTTATATCAATTTCCTAGAATTCTGAAATTCCCAGTGTAAAAACTATGCACATATTTGCATAACATTAAATATGGTCTATCTGTTTTATTTATAGAATATTTATCTCTGTAATAAAATGAAATTGCCAATTATTTCTTAACCATATTTTTATATAAACAACATATTTAAAATATGTACAGTTTAGTCTATATCCACAGAGTTCATTTTTAACACACAATGCACATCCATACTTCACTGCAAAATGTTCTATTGTTCATTATATTAATTTTCATACTTCTGTGCAATGCCCTGTCAGCATTTTATAACAATATTTCATCTTAGAGACTAAAGACAGTAAAAAATGTTAGTCATACAGTTGATTAAACACCTTTTTCTCAGCCTCCTGAACAATAAGGTTTAACCAGTAGTGCACCATATTGGCGATTAATCACACATTAAATCCAGGTGTCACCATCAAGATCTTTGTTCAGAGAAAAATTACAAATCAACCAAATATCCATACCTTTGTCGAGTATATTTACTTGTTCATACAACATTTGCACAGAAAACGCAAAGGAAAAAGCTGTTTGGCTAACTGAAAAGTGTTGTTGTTCCACAGGAACAGTTTTTGGGGAGTAGCAATAATATACAGTATATTATTCAGTAACATGTACAAGGATGTGCGCTGTATGTATAATACCTTTAAAGCAATTGTTGTAAGTTATTTATTATTAAGGACTCCACGACTGTCTCATCTCGAACATAACATTTTGACAAACTAGACATTTTCTTTCTTTATAAGATCTGTTTGATCATATCGGCAGATGATCCCTTCGGCTTTTTGCTCTCTTGATTTCGGCAGTACCAAAAACACAGATTGCATTAAAGAACAAGGCAGTTTCGAGGTTTCGCAATGCACTTATTTGTTGTGATATTTTGGCTTTGATTGACTGGGACAGTCAATGTCCAATCAGTAGACAGAAAACAGTCGGTCACCTTGTTCACTTGGGAATATGAGAAGCTGGTGCTGATGGGTGTTTTCTCTTGCTTTCCACTGGGTGATTTCATTTGGTTTGGAAGAGCTCATTGAACTCGTTGAGAATGAGCTCCACGATCTGGTTCTGGAAGACCATGTGCATGGTGATGTTGGACTCCTCCTGTGGTCTCAGCAACGTTGGACCGAACACTATGGCCATACTTTGGACAGACATGCGGTTCAGCTCACCGTGCTCAATCACTCTGTGGGACAGATGGGTGTATACTCAGAACTGCTTTTCAGTAAATAGACTGAGGATGCATTTAGTACTTCTACAGTTTTTCTCGAATGATCTGATCACTGTTAATACCCAAGGCTAATGGAAGTAACAAAATAAAACAAAGAGGGTCATCATACTACTGACGTACTACATTGAAACGGAATGAAAAATAGGTCCATACTTGCGAAGATGTCTGAAGAGAACATCCATGGTGTCATGGTTGGGCAAAGGCAGGTTTCTCACTAGATCTCGAATATATGAGACTTTCTGGCTGTAGTCACTCATTTCTAGAAAACAAATACAATTCTTGAGCTCTTAAACATGCATGAATGAGGTTTTGGTCTTGGAAATTAAACAGTGTATTGTTTTTGTAGATACTCCCTACAGTTTCCATAATAATCAAATAGAGTCAAGTGGAATCATGAATCATTCATTTCAGAGTTCATGATGCATTGCATCATTTAGGAAAAAAATCATAACCAAATCATGCTGTCAAAGTAAATATACATCAATAGTTCTCATGCCAAAAATATATTACTTTTAATATCTAGCTCTTTATGAAATAAAAGCTTTTTTATGTATATATCATGTGTCAAAACTTAAAGGGATAGTTCACCCAAAACTGAAGATGTCATCATTTACTCACTCTCGAGTTGTTCCAAACCTGTATGAGTGTCTTTCTTATATTAAACACATAAGAAGATCATTTGAAGAATGTTAGTAAACAAAGTTGCTGTTAGCCATTGAAAAAAATATAAATGGAAATGGAAATTATTAAACGGAAATCAATGGCTACTAGCAACTGTTTGGCTACCAACATTCTTCAAAATATCTTCATCTCTGTTCAACAGAAGAAAGAAACTCATACAGGTTTGGAACAACTTAAGAGTGAGAAAATAATGACAACATTTTCATTTTTGGGTGAACTAAAAAAACAAACATTGATTTTGCTCTCTAAAATAGGACAGTGACACTCACGAATGGCTGCGATGAACCTATCAAAAAAGCTGAAGGGGAAAAGAGGCTCAGGAAGTTCACGCAGGAAAAGCTTCAAAGCTCCTGTGATCACATGGATCTCTTCCCACTGCCCATCCTCCAGATCCAGATCCTCTTCTACAGAAAGCAAGGAATATACAGTTTTATATAGTCAATAATACAGTATTGTTTATCCACCACTGCTATAATAAATAAATCAATCAATTCTGAAAACTTAACTGTTTAAGGAGTTTCCACACGAATTTGTGATTTTACAGCAGCAACCATTTTTATTAACATTATTTATATTATGTTTATAGCTATTTACGATAAAAATAACTAAAAAATCATACTTTTACAGCATTGTAAGAAAAACTATACAAGCTCTTTCAATTTGACCTCTGATAATTTTCTAAAGTTCTAAAAATTCCTCCTCATGAGAAGTTTTTAAAACATCAATTAACATTCCGAACTAAATCCTCAACTATAACTGCAGTAATTAAGGTGTTTTGGCAGATTGTTACCATGGTAAATGCGTTTATTTCCAGCATTCTATAAACACTGATCAACTCAGTCCTAAATGGTGGATGTATACAGTTCAAGGGTTGAAAACACAGTTAAAGTCATTGTGATGATGTGTCTAGCTCTTGTTTACCATGATCAGCTTTATATCGCAGCTTCTGGATGACAGCCAGGTTCCCGCTCACTCTGTAGAGTCCATCTATTTTCAGACCTACACAGAATCTGACACTTTAGATAACTTTTCTCACTAATGAACTTGCAAACAGACACCAAAATGAATGCTTACCCCTTTTCTCAACAGATCTGATGCATTTTTCCATAAACTTGGGCACGGTTGTGTTTTCCCGATGACAGAGGGTGTCTAGGTGGCAGCCAAACACATTCTCTGTAAACAAAGAGAAACTGAAAATTAAAACGTTTTGAACATGGGATAAGGACAAGTCCACGAGACTTTGAAAGTGAGTCGTCAATATTTATAGACTGCATTTAATCACAGTCAGCGACATTAATTAAGCTCATGTTAAAAGAGGCAAAAGTTGATACTAACCTTTAATGTAGCCCTTCTCTTTGACTGACTGCAGGGTGGGCCGCCGCTGGAGGAACTTGCGTAGCTTGGTGCGAACACGGCCCTGTTCAATGTCTATGCTACTAGAAGAACTCAGTCTTGTTGCTGTAAGAAGAATATTTAAAAATACAAAGATGCTGAATTAAATGATTAAGAACAGCAATGTGATTGATGTGCATCTGATTCAGTTACTGACATTCACTCTTCCTCTCTTTATCTGCAGGCAATGGAGATTTTTCTGGGATATCTTCTGCTTCATCCTCCGAGAAATGGCCATGGTCCTGCTGTGAAAGATCACAACATCATTTTAAGAGCAAACATGACAGGATTTTGTGTTTTCCTGTTAAACGGTTTGTGGCACTCACCAGCAGTCTGATGGTGTCCAGAATGATCTTGTGCCAGTCGTGTATGATGCTGTCTGTGTCATATTGTATCAGATACTCAGAGCCGTGACGTGTCTTGAGCTGCTCAGAGACATGGACAGTGTTACAGGCTTTATTATTCAAAAATATGGACTGATATATGCTGACAAGAAAATCTCTGAGGGCAAAAGCCAACAATTACTGGTGTCAATCCATGTCAAGGTAATACATTTTGAATTGGTCCTATTATGCTTTTTCACTTTTTCAACTTTAGTTAGTCTATGTTGTTGTTTGAGCATAAAAAAGATCTGCAAAGTTACAAAGCTCCTCTTTGTGAAAGTTTAAAAATATACTATTTGCCCATTTCATAATGACAAACAAATAAGAGCTAAATTTCAGAAAACTTTGTGTGATGTGAGTGCAACAAAATTAAAAATAATAATAATAATAATAATTTAAAAAAAGTGTTAGTGCAGGTCTGTTGGTAGCATGTTAAATGAACAACGACGGAACAGCATGCCACAAAACAACACTATCTACAGCTACTAACGAAAGACACACATTTTAAAATGAAGCAAAACTATTTTCCAGCCACTGGACAACAAGCAGTGATGTTAGTTTTCATCTAATGCACGACATGTTAGTTTTGGACCCCAATGCAGACAACTTAACAGGCCCAATAAACAAGCTCAGGACGCACATGATGAGAATGTGAATCTGTGCTGTGACTGGACAGGTTCCTCCGCCGCCTTAACTTTTTATCCTTGAGAAAGGGAACAAAATCTTGGGTTCTCACTAAATCTTGGACTTCTTTTCATTTTTGTAGAGCAAATCACATTATATTGCATATTTTTGATCAACAACTAGTTTATTTTTACATAAAAACCACTGACAACTAAAGCACATTATAAAAACCTGATAATGGCAGGAAATCGTTTACTTGAGACTTAAAACATCTTTTTTTATTAGCATGGCCTTAAACAATGGTTTATAATTAGTTTTAGATCATGCATGCAAAAGTATTCCATTAGGGGAACTTGACATGAATGAGAGCAAAATGACAATGCAATAAGAATGAGACTGTTACACATGAATGAGTTTTGGTGAACTAAATGACATGAGTTAAAAGCTCCACTGAGGGCTGGAAATAACAGAGGTCATGTTACATACGTTATGCTGTGATTCTGGTGAATTCCCTGAACTGGATGCATCACTGGCATTGTCAGAGGCGATCCGCCTGTGTGAGGGAGAAAATTTCTGCAGGAGGAAAACGAGAGAAAGAGAAATAAATGAATATTAGCTGGTGGAAAATGGTGCGGTGGTGTGTCAGATCAGGTAGCAGATGTTTCCTTCCTTCCTGTTGTGGTCACTGATGTAAGCTGCAAAAATAGCTGAGAATGAAATGTCTCACATGAGAGAGAACAGTGAGAGGGCATCCCTCACACAATTTGCTGAAACTGTGAAGAAACTTTTTGGTTTATGTCTAGCTGTCTCTGACCTCTATAAGGGTTCACAAGTCAGATAAAGGTTAATGAGTTACAAAGGACAGGATTTTTTAAAAAGTCAAACAACTGTGTATATCTTAAATTATACGAGTGAACAGATCCAGGTTAAGAGTGTCCTGAAACTCACCAGGTCTTCCTGAGATACAGTGAACTGGGATTGTCTCCAGTTCATAACAGGTTGAGCATCTTGGTCTGTTCCATTTCCATTGATCGGCTGACCAGGCGGGACTGAAGCCTTTACACAGAGTCAATAAAGGTCTTATGAGTTCATACAGAGTTCAGGGTGAGATATGCATTTGTAAAGAATATAAAAATGTTTATTTGACCAAAAAAAAAAAAAAACCCACACAAAAACAGAATGAAATACAGAAACTTGAACGTCCAAAGAAAATCCTATACAGACCTCTGGAAGGGTCCACTGACATTTAGACCCATCTTTTAAGTAGTAATACATCTTCCCTTTGTCATCCTTAGACTGGATCCACTGCGATTGGGAGACAAAAATATTAGTTTTGGTTTATTTATTAAGCGACTTATTTTAAAGAAGATTTGGCTCTGAAATTATTTACATTAAAATAAAAGTATATATTTGAGCATATGCAACGTGGAGATATAGACCCACTAGACTAGAGAACTATTTGACAAATCTTTCCCAAAGATCAACACATTCCTTGCCTCTAGCATGTTTATTTATTAAATATGCTGGCTATTTGATTTCACTTTTAGCTTCCAATAAGAAAATAGCAACCCCAGCTCCATTTTAAACATGTTTAATATCATCCCCAATGATTGTCTATTAAAATTAGTGCAGACAAATTGGAAAATGTCTGCAGATTCTGTATGGAGCTGATCTGATTGATAAACAACGTCCTCAGTTTTTTGCAATGAGCACAGTAATACATACAAAACCAATAGCTATAAATCTGCTAAATCTCCTTTGATATCTTATAAATGAAATCAAAAAGAGCTCTTACATATATTAATAATGTATTGCTTTAAAAAAATGATCATTCAGGATTCCACTGGTTTTGGGACCTAAACCAAGAGTATTTTTTCCCCAAGTCTACATAGTGTATGATCATTGTGGTACATTCATGTGCACTCCCAGCCTTATGTGCGTGTGTGTGTGTGTTGTGACGAACTCTCATGACCTGTTCATGTGTGAGTTCATTTGTGTAGACAGATTTTCCATCGGCCCCTACAGAGTGAGCCCAGCCCACAGGGACGTCTTTATGCATGTCCACAACAGCCCTAGGGATGATGGCAAGCTTGATTTGGGGCAACTGAAAATCCTTAAGGAGCTGAAGAGAAATATGGGAATCCTCACGCTGATTCGTTGGGTAGTCCTCCTCTGGAAGAGGTGGCTGCGGAAGCAAAAAGTGAACAAAAAACAGGGACAGAAGTCTTTACTGCCAGTTTGGATCAATTTTTTGCATCCTTGCAGAATAAAATTATTACATTTCTTTAAAATAATCTTACTAATTATAAATGGTAGAACAGATGGAGAGGCAGAATCTTACCGGCCCGTTTGGCTCCTTGCCATGACTGTGTGCCTTATCTGTAGAGGACGGAGGTGGTTCCGTTGGCTCCGGGGCAGTCCAAGAGGTTTGCTTCAAAGCATAATTATAATAATAATGTCTCCCAGTGGTCTCATCCAAAAGCTGCTCCCAGTCAGAGCCCAGCAAGTGTGCTGAGGACGGGGTGGACACGGGTATGGGGGAGGTCACAGACTCCATACCTGCTCCTGCTGGGGGGCTACGGGGATCAGACCAACTGCTCTGTCCTGTGGCAGGGTGGTAGTAGTACTCCTTACCGCTGTCGTGGTCAGTATGGACCTGCCATCCGGCCGAGTTGGGAGGGGAGGTGGAGTCCGGAGCAGGACTGAGGGTGATGCCGGGCGACGAGCAAGTTGAAGTAGAGGAGTTTGAAGGGCGAGGAATGGTCTTCTTTAGGTCAGTAATGTTGGCATACACAGCTGTGGTTGGGTCATTCTCTGTCTGATGAGAGAGAAGAACGATGATGTTTTGGGTATAATGGCAGCTTCTACAGGACTAAATTTAATCTAAAGATAAAAAAATCATCATCATCATCTGATGACCATCAAGGTTAAAACAAAGTAAATTTAAGTACTTGAAGTATTTATCAAGTACTGTATATCATAATCAAATTAAATGAAATTTCTCTTGTTTGACTGAATTAGAACGGAAATGTCAAAAATTATTCAAATCAAAATAGTCCTTTCTGTCAGAAAAAGGTCCTATGTGCTACTTTGTAAGGTTTAGAGATCTAAAATAATCATGTGCTGACTTAGTTTGACTAGTTCAACCAAATGTACTTTGTAGCAAATACTGAAAGCATTGCACTTTACATTTCATTGGACTTCTGGAATTCTGTTGTGTATGTAAGTATTGAAAAAAGTAAATATTAAGCTTTTATGGACACATACAATTGAACAGACCACATCACACGGAACATGGCACTGGCATGAGGAGTGTATCTGTCTATGTCCCATGCAAGAACTTCCATTATTCATCTGAACAAAGGTCTATAGAAACCTGATGAAATCAAAGAGCTATGGGAAGAAAATCCTGCTGGAACCGCTCCCTCGATTCAGGAAAACACAAGGACGTTTATGTGGAATCAAATATCTTGCCAGCTTTCATCTTCAGGCCTTCACTCTTTTTCCCGTTATAGAGTTCTTCAGTGGAATTTTAATAAACTAGAACAGACCTCTGCACTTAATTGGAAAGTTTGCCCAAAACATTACAAACCAATAAATCACCTCATGCTGTTTAAAACATTTTTAGAGTTATATAAGAATACAGAGTTGTATGGACAGCTTAAGAGTATGTACTGTACACTTGACAGTCAAAGTCACCATTTGTGTAAAAAAGAGCAGCTTGGACATTCTGCTAGCTAACTCCAGTCCTCTAGTTAAAGGATAGTTAGTGTTTCAACCATAATGAGGGTGAGTTGGTGACATAATTTTCATTTGTGTTAGAACTATCATGGCATCATAGCAAAAAGCTGGCAAGACGTAGACTGGAGCCCTGCTGCACACCTTTGGAAAGCTCATTGGAAACCACAATGTGAGGTCGGAAAAACATCAACAACAGGCCAGCCTAATGAAAACCTGTGTTTGTTTAGTCCAAGTGAAAGTTTCTCTGGATACCATGTTCTTCCAAAATGAGGAAACATCCAGATAATGTGTTTTCCAACGCACAGCACATTCTCTGGGGAATTCCAAAATGAGGAAGCATCCAGATAATGTGTTTTCCACAGCACACTCTCTGGGGAAGGGAAGCCAAGATCAAAACATAACAACGGGCAAAGGTTTCCGCTGCACGATGTACATTTGAGAGGAGCTTGATACACACATAACGCTGGAGTGTGGACCACTGCCAAAATGTACGGCCTGCTGGAGTATCACAATAATCTGATATATGCGTCAGCTAAAAAAGAACCCAAGTGCATCAAAATAATATAAAATTAATAAACTATGTCAGTTTACAATGCAGCAAACAGAACAACTTGATTTTACAAGTTTATTTTAAGTTTAAAAACATTGTCTCTGTGTAAATATATAAATTATGATAATGTGTATTCAAGTGCTGTAAATGAACACAGCATTTTTAATCACATTTGAGCTTTTTGTTCACTAAACTCATGCAGTTTGACAAAGTACAAATAATCTATGTATTAATCTTTTAATTAGTATAAAGTAGTGCTGTCAAACGATTAATCGCCATTAATTGCATCCAAAATAAAAGTTTGTTTATATAATATATGTGTGTACTGTGTATATGTATTATGTATATATAAATACACACACATGCATGTATATATTTAAGAAAAATATGTTACGTTTACATATTAAATATACTTATATATGATATAATTTATATGAATATATACATGTAAATACATGTAAATATTTTCAAAATATATGCTGTATGTGTGTGTCTTTAGATACATTACATATATATATATATAAAATAAATATACACAGTACACACACATATATTATGTAAACAAAAACTTTTATTTCTCATGCGATTAATCGCGATCTCTTATACAGGATCTATAAACACGAATGACCCATTAACAATTACAATTTGTTGATGGATTCAGTTCAAGACTGCAAAACAAAGGTTAACCATCTGACCCTGTGTCACTTCTTAACTAGCAATAACAAACTTGGAGTAGAAAATTGCTGGGTAAACAACAGTTTCTTTTAAGCAAACAATAGCAGGGTAGTCTGACAAGCACGATATCCTACCTGCGTATCTGTCGCAGCATTCCCACAAACCCCAGTCTCAGTCTCACAAAGCTACCTTGTTTACCGCTTACCTTACGAAACCTCAGAAAGGACTGCAGCCTTGGCATAAGCGTATGGCAAGCCTTAAGGATCACCTCTTTTACTTCCATCCGAGCAGTCAGCAAAATAAAGCTACTATCATAAAAAAAACAAAAAAAAAAACAAGACCAGATCAAAACTCAACTATTGTGTTCTGACCACATATGGTCCAACCTGAAAGAAGTGAGAGTTTCAAAACACCAGAAGATCTGGAAACGCTTTTCTGCTGAACTACAACACAGCTTCTGACTAACAGTACAGTACCAGCTGATATACAGTAAGTAGGGATTCACAGAAATTGGGAATTTACAAAAAAACATCCGGCTTTAGGGGAGGGGCACATCAGATTAATTGACAGGAAAGCTAAAGGGGATCTCCTGAGGGTCCAACAGGCATGTATGTGCGCACATATAAACACAGAAACCTCAACTGGGAACACAAACTAACTGCTGTAGGTGGAGGGACTCATGTTCAACTATCATTTCCTCTTGAGGTGGAGTAATGCTAATTAAAATAAACAAACATAATTATTGGCTTGGTAAACATCCTGCGATCTGTCAAAAAGGCTACATGGACAACAAACAAGAATTTGAAGTAAAATCAAAGCCATGCTTAAAGTAATATTCTTTAGTGTATGCAAAGTCCCATCATCCCAATAAGGGAAGTAGTGCTTGCAAACTGAAATCACAAATTTCGTCTCTCCCCTTAATTCCTCTTTCCTGCTGAACAAGCTATGTGCGAAGAACTGGGTGAGACGGGATTCTAGTGTAACCAAATCAAGCGGTAAGTCTAGATTAAAGGCCAAAGCTTTGTCATTCAAATAAAACCTCAAAAGCTCTTTTAGAAACTCACCTGACCCTGTGTGCTGATCTGTATTTCACAGAAATGTGTTAATGGATTAGACCTTTTTTTCCAGCATTGCAATTAGAATTGGCAGGTTTAAAAACAATGACAACAGGTACGATTTAGCTCAGCTCACAAACTATTGTTATTGCTCATATTTTAGGGATGTTTCTAAACCCCCAAATCTAGTTATTAAACTCTGGCATCATGTAGCTCAGCTCAAACCTCAAATAGTTTGGCTTGTTGAGGAGAGGTGTGCTATCTATGCAAATAATTTTTGGCCAATTAATAGCAAAATGTCCCAAAACATCCCATAGACTTACACTAAATGAGGGATCCGAGCCATATCTAGGATATCTAGGCTGGGTGTGTAGCACAGGCAAGCAATGTAAATGTACTCTGGTATTTTTATTGAAAAAGCAGAACACTCTACCAGCACTGGTGTCAAGGAAACTGCATCTGCGTTTCATGCCATCTTGTTTCAACTTAACACACTGACACACAGACCAAAAAAGTGTTGCAGGGTTCAAGAAGGCCCAACAAATTAACCAAATTTCAGTGTTGAGTTCATGTTTTAGAGAAAAATAATTTCTAACACTTTGATTTTGAAATAACAATCAAAATCCCTCAGGTAATTCAAATAGTTTTCATTTAAACCCACGAACTACAGTAAACTGCCAAAAATCAATGGACACTATGTTGTTTGGTCAATTATTTACGTCACCCATAGTCTCAAAATAGTCTTATGGCGTGACATTCCAGAGTATTTTGACCCCATTCTTGATCACTGAGTTTACAGACAGTTCTTCCTTATGCAACACAAACAATAACAGAAACCAGGAACACTTATACCAGTGTTCACAAACAAAGTACTTTAAACGATTTAAAACATTTCCTCATTGCTGTTCACTTAGGTCTGATTAAAAGTATATCTGAATAAATACATGTGTCTGATTAAAAGTAAAAGAATTTGTATTAAACCAGACGGCACAAATATTAGTCACAAAATAAATCCCACTGATTCATTCAAAGGTTGATCGCAGATCAAAATATTATCTAAAGTTATGAGGGTACCATGCGAAATTTAAACATCTGCATGCATCTCAGAGGTTTTGGCTTGCTCATGATGTAACTGCAAAATATCCATATCCAAAAGAGGCTGCAGATTTTAACCATTTGAAATGTAAATCACAAAAAGTGCAAAGAAATAATTAGAAGGCTATAATAAGCAATAATTAAACAGTCTGCATGCAATTTAATCAATCAATTAAATCCTTATTCACACAGCTTAGGTCTAAGCCAGGGGTGCCCAAACTCGGTCCTGGAGGGCCGGTGTCCTGCAGAGTTTAGCTCCAACTTGCCTCAACACACCTGCCTTCAAGTTTCTAGTATGCCTAGCAAGAGCTTGATTAGCTGGTTCAGGTGTGTTTAATTGGGGTTGGAGCTAAACTCTTCAGGACACCGGCCCTCCAGAACCGAGTTTGGGCACCCCTGGTCTAAGCAATTCAGAAAGCAAGTGGCCTTGTCTGTTCAAAACAGCTCCACTCCATTGAGACGTCAAAACAGACTATCTTGAATAATTTGATGCACAAATTAATCAGTTAAATGATAGATTTACCTCAAAGGTAAAGCACAATAATAAAATGTTCTGTCTACAAAAGCTCTCAATCTTTTCCGTGACCACTTAAGATTTCTTTATATATCAGTATTTAAATGAAATTAAAACCCAATATTATTTTACACAAAAATATAAATCTCAACCTGGAATTTAACAGTTTTAGTTTGAGTATTGTTTTAGTTGGCTATTTATAATGAATATGCTAACTGATTATCCTGTCTAATAAAAACATACAGTAAATAGGCTGCATGGCAATCATTTAACAGCAATAGACCTAATGAACCTTGACTTAATGGTAAAACAAGGCGTGGACATGAAATCTACTTTATATTTCTATATAAAGAGCTGTACATTTTTAATTTAAGAGGGAAAAACAGCTGATTTGCTGATCTCCTAGCAATTTTTGGAGATCAGCTTAAATAAGGTAGATCAGTGAAAACAGTTTAGACTGGTTTAAGCTCGTTTTTTAAAGCAGCGTTAGACTTCACAAACGCAAGTAACCAAAGGTGTAGGTATTAGGACATCAAAGCTGCTTAGAAACAATACTGTGAAAAGCGCAATACAAATAAAACTGAATTGATTGATAATTTCCCATAAACACAGACTATTCGCGCTCAAAGTCGTGGATAGCAAACGCTCTTATTATAATCATTAAAGCCTTCTAAAAACCGCGCGATTCGGTTGAGTTCTGCCTTGACCGCCATAAAAAGTCAATAGAAGAATAAGAAGAGTTCTGCCTTTATCGCGTCGAGAGCCAAGTAAAACAAATATGTGTATTCGCAATAATACCTGTATTTGATTTCCGCTGGGCGTCTCAGATGAATCCCCAGATCAGAAGAGAGTCGAGTCCGCCACTCTGAAGCGGCGCTTGCGCAGGTAAACTGGGAGCGGCGACCCACCTTGCTTTCTTTATTTTAACTCTTTCTTTCCCAAACGCACGGCGTTTTATGGTTCACAAGGACTAATACGAAGAGTATCTGCGGTGTAAACCGAAATTGGTGTATCCTTTGTAAATTTATTCCTGCATTTAGCTCTTAACAGTAGCCTATTCCGGCCATCGGTCACGCTCAGGAACGAGGCAGAGGACACGACACGGTTGGCTTGTATTCACACAGTGCCTATGTGTGGGTAGGGTGGGAGTTGTTCTGAACTTGTTTGGGTTTAAAGCACTGAAATGAGATTTGGAGGCCTTCAGGAAGAACTCCTCCTTTGTTTTGTAAACGTGCCAGTGGCTGAGAGGCATTTTAGCAGGATTGGACCAGCTGTCATATGTTCTCTTTCTTCGTTGTTGCCAGTAGACAAATAGAGGTACAATTACAATATAGCTTCTAGGCATATAATAGTGACTCGGTAAATCGGTGACTCCCTTAATATCAGAATTGAGCTCAAGTTCATTCTCGTGAATTATAGCCTCTGTAAACTATGTAGCAAAGCATGAAGTCATCTGAGGACCTTCAGATATGTTTGAAGTTTAATACAGTGCTGGTTTTGTGAGAAACATTTGCCTGCAACTGATGTAGACAGTCTAACAATTGGCTCTGAAACCCGATACAGGTGCACTGAGAGCTCCACTCCCACTGCGCCTCTCCTCTTCATTTCCAAACAAATTCCTAGCTATTCCCAAACAAGAGTGGAACTGAACTGATTCTCATAAGATCTGCAAAGGGTTAGAGAGTTAGGAGCAATTAAGCATACTGACACTCACTGCGTTCATCCATTTCTTGTGATATTTAAACAAAAGACAAAATAATATGATGTTGGAAAACATCATGTTTCAGTGACACTTTAAGAGAGGCTTTGTCCGCTATAACTTAAAATGCTTTGAAATGAGGCAGTGCTTAGAGAAACTGAGAACGAACTACTAGATTCCCTGGAATTTTGTACAAATTCTGGAATTCTGTTATGAAATGAAAATGAATATTTTATATTTAATCATTTTTCTATAGAAAGCTATTTCTGTAAAAAAAAAAAAAAAAAAAAAAGTAGGCCAAACATCTCTCTTTCACTCTCGCTCTCCATCTGTCTCTCTCCTCCCACAAAGTTTCAATTGTTTCAGTGGCTTTATGACAAACAATTTAAATTACCAATGTAGTAGAGAATGGGACAATTTGAAAATAACAATAAAACCCCCTCTCTCTCTTTCTTTCATACTCCATATTTATCTCCTTCTCCCTGGCTTTCTGATGAATTTCAAGCTTCAGGATCATGTACTGATTTTGAAAGCTAAAACATCTGTGCCAACAATAGTAGCCTTGCAGCTTCAACACCAAGCCTGACTCAGATCCCAACAGTGTCCCAGGAGATTAACATGTTCCCCTTTGAAGTTTACATGCAAAAAGCCAAATAATACGTTTTTTTTTCTCTACCACCACAAATTATTCTGAAACAAATAACACAATTATAAAATGTAGTCTCATATTATATTTCAGGGTTGAATTTGATTGAAAACATTGCCTGCTACTAGAAGTGAGATGCATTTCTATTTTGTATTCTTTAAGAGACAGTTGACACAAAAGAAAACCTAACCCTGTTGTGACGTGCCCTGTAGCTTTTATTAATTGAACTCTGTGGCACAGTGTGTCCAAACCTCTCAAATTTGTTCACACACACAAGAAAAAGGGATGGGCGCCCTGTTAACCTGTAAGCAGGCAAGTGCATTACAAACATAGTGAATGCAAATAAAACTGGATTTTTATGTTTTCTTTGGATAGGCCTACAGTTTGTCAGTTTGCAGGGTAGTGGCTAACTGCTGTTATGTTGGTACACATGGTTTTTATAGGATGAGAGTTCTAGATGTCTTTAATAGGATAAAACACACACTTTATCCTTCCCTTGCTGTAGGAAAAGCTGTAATATCCTGTTCTGATGTCACGTAGGAGGGCGTTATTGTTAAGCGGCTCTCCTTTATTTCCCATTGTTTCCAGTGCTTTATTTCATGTGGCTCCAAAAACAGCTGAGTAACTACTTCTTAAGTGAACAAAATGCCACATTGATGGTGACCTGATCACATCACATGGCTGTCTGTAAATTCTGTTAGTGAAAGTAGAAGATATGATAATGGGTACAAGTTCGTTTATAGTGAATCTCAGTTCTTTACGAAAAACGTACTGCTTTCAGTGCTTTGCTTTGATTTACCATGCCAACATCGCCTCCTAGTGGCCCACTTTGATCAAATGCCCAAACATTTCCTTTGATACACACTTCCTGTTCTACTGCTTTCCCTCATAAGGATTTTATGCCCTGTTGTTTACCAATCCTGCCAAGCGGAGATAATATACGTGTCAAAAATACACAAATTTTAAATGTCAAAAGTCATTATTTAATCCAATACATAACTTCCCTTGTATATAAGCAGACTGCAAATGTCTGTAGTATGATGATATTCCATTCTAGCTAACTTTCATACTTTTCTCTGTCCAAGACAGAAGACAAATTTTAACATTACAGTGTATGTGAAAGGCAATGATGTAACTGGGTTTAAATGATTTATGACATCTTTCGGCATCAGTGTTGGTTGTGTCTGTACAGAAATAGGCCAGTATGGTTTAAGGAACCGTTAACAGTGAAATTTTGAAAGAGAAACCAATGCTTCAAAGAGGATTCGAAAACAAGCATTCTTGTTTGCATCAGCAGATCCTGTAAGACTGTAATCTGTAAGGCATGCATGGTCTTCAAAACCTCAAGACTCTTTAACTTTGTTAATTCAAAGTTTGACTTGTCTAGTTAAAGGGATCGTTTACTCAAAAATGAAAATTACCCATGATTTACTCAACCTCAAGCCATCCTAGGTGTATATGACTTTCTTCTTTCAGACGAATACAATCAGAGTTATATTTAAAAAAAAAAAAAAAGAAGTCCTGGTTCTTCCACGCTTTTACAATGGCAGTGAACGGTGGTCGAGACTTTAAAATTCCAATAAAGTGCATCTATCCATCATAAAAAGCATTCCACACAGCACCGGGGCATTAATAAAGGCCTCCTGAAGTGAATCGATGTATATGTGAATGAAAAATATCCATATTTAAAACTTTATAAACCATAAATTCTAGTTTCTGCTATCTGTAGTACTCATGTACACAACAGAGTGGCGCCAGCAGGTGATGTAGGACGTAGGCGTAGCATAAACTCTGGTGAGAATATGCTAGTCTCGCGAGAACCAAGTTTTGTTCACAGCAAAGGAAAATCAGTCTCCTCTTGGATTATATCAAAATCCTCCAGCCTTTACAAATCCTCTTTGTACTTCTAATTTGTGACCGGTGTTTTGTTTTGCTCTGTCCACTGCGCTTCCGCGTTCGTCATCACATTCGCCTACGTCCTACATCATCTGCAGGAATGCCACTTTCTAGTGAACGTACGTACAACAGTTATGGAAGCTAGAGATTACGGTTTATAAAGTTTCTAACAAAAATGCATCGATACGCTTCAGAAGGCCTTCATTAACCTCCTGGAGCCATGTGGAGCACTTTTTATGATGGATTTATGCACCTTTTGTTGGACTTCAAAATCTCGACCCCCCATTCACTGCCATTCTAAAGCTTGGAAGAGCCGGGACATTTTTTAATATAACTCCAATTGTATTCATCTGAAAGAAGAAAGTCATATACCCCTAGGATGGCTTGAGGGTGAGTAAATCATGGGGTAATTTTCATTTTAGGATGAACTATCCCTTTAAGAATTACACTTGTTGCAGTCAAATTAATTTACATTCTGCTTCCCTATATATATTCTATTTGCTGCCTTAAAAATCTGGAAAGGAATAAGAATTTAAAAGGCATTCTCATATAGCTAAAACTGTACCTTTATTGTTGGAGCAGAGCATGATGTGTTGGTCTGAGGGTTTGGCAATCCAGCAGGTGTTTTGTCTGTCAGTGTCGACAGGTCCAGATTCAGATCCGATATGGATTCATAAATATTCTCAGAGTCAGGTGATGGCAGTGGTTCTGAGCTAGAGCTTTCACTTTCTGGCTCTATTGGGGATTCCAGCTCGGGAGACTTCCTGTGAGGTTTGGTCTCGTTTAGGTTCTTGATGATGGGGAGCTCCACAGGTTTGACAGGGATAGGTTTATGGAGAGGGTCAGCTGGGCTGAAGCTAGGCACTCGAAACTTATCAGGCACCGTTTCAATGCAAGAGCCGAACAGCAGATTGGTTGCTTGACTCATCCTCTTCTTCTGATGTGATGAGTCTGAGGCAGAGACCGTGTTCAGGGAGATGAGGGAGTCTGAAGGTCCGCCATGTTTGTAAGAAGGGGGCTCGTGTAAATCTAAAGGAACTCCAAATGTAGACATGCGGTTATCTGTCTTGTGGTAATTCCCTTTGGAGCGAAGTCTAATTGTCACCTCATCGGATTTGCGGCCCTCTGTGAGGTCAGGCACCACAGGCTTCACAGCGGGGCCTGGAGGCTCTCTGAAGTCTAGAGGTGAAGGGATGTTGGGTGGAAGCTCCTTGACATATTTAGCAGGGATATAAAATGGCTTGGCTTGTTCATCTTTGCAAACATGCCACCAGTGATCGTTTGTTTTGGCCAGAAGGATGTACCGCTCGTTGGGTTTAATGGACACCATGTGACCATCCCGGCCCTCGTATTCATATTCAAACTCTACCAGTACCAGGCCCAGACTGTTTAAGGATGTCATCTTACCCGTCTCACCTATTCACCCCTTGAGGGAATCAAGCTGGAATCAAGGCTCAGGAAAAGCCCTCCTGTGGGTAGAAAACAAATGAGAGGATTATAAAAAGCAATTTGAGCAGAAGACACGGATTACTGTTTATTTGCTGCCTCACATTTGAGTCATGAGCAAAGGGCACCTGCTGTATAAATGCAAAAACAACAGCACTTTGGCTGAACTTTCTACAGGTCCAGCTATTCAGACTTTGCCCAACAAGCCTGATTCTATCAAAATGACATGGTGCTGCTCCTTGCACAATAGTATATCTAAAGTTGTATGAACTGTCATACATAGTAGAAACAAAGTACACTAGAAATTGCTAGTAAAATTCACAAATACAAAGAAACGGTACTGTTTTTTAAAAACTTTTCACCAAAGGACTGTGTCCAAAAAAAATATATAAAAAATTGAAACGGTCTGTTGCAAAATTGTATTGCCATGGTGAAGTCACTGCTAATTCTAATCAAGCACAGTATTTCATTGCATCGGTACCACATTCATTTTAAGTCAACAGTGGAGATCTCTAACCTACACCTTTTGTCAACAGCTGATGTTTAACCCAAGAGAATTAAGGCAGGCAACTGTGATATAGTGCGCTGATATGGACCAATAGCTGAGGTTAAATGCCCCAGTTCTGATCAGTGACCTGAAGCAACCAATCAAGCATGACCTCCACACAGACTCTCAAGAAAGATCAGAGCACCTTTTTTGGAATGTAATAGTAATTCATTTCGCATTATAATTACATTCATTGTAATTCATTTTATATAGATGTTAACTTATTAGTATTATATGAATTAATAGTATTACATCTATATAATGTATATGTGTCTAGAGGATTATATTAATTGCCAGTTTATCTGTTTACAGAGTACTTAAAGAGATTCACCCTTGACGCAACAGCGGTTTAATGTTTGCTCACATTAGTAATGTTTGATCACTTGGTAATCTTTTGTATGTGGTTTGACTACTGCCTGTAAAGGAAAGGAAGTTGACTGTAATACGAAAGACAGATAACAGCATAGTGTCAGTAATCAAAGTGCTATTTGGAATCAGCTGCCAGCAATTTATGTAAAAAATTCGGATCTGAGATATAGACACACAGGATATTATGTCACTGACATTTTAAAGAACATTGATTGATCTGATTGCCAAAGCACTGGAGATGTGACGCATTGTGTCAGTTCTAATGTAAATATTACATTGCTGCACCTTTGTTTTTTATTATCTGATGACCACTATTTCACTTGATCTTTTTAAAAGTCTGGTTTTCATGGTGGCTGTTTTTAAAAGACTTCCTTCCTCTTGCATGTCTAATACAAAGAGAGAGAGAAACAGAAGACATGCTGCACTGTCAGCAACAAAAATTTGCTTTCTACTGATTTGAGATGTGTGTGTTCCGGTTATATCTGTGGTCATATAAGTTTATACTTGGTTGTATAAATAAATGTGAAACTTCAGAACTTGGTCAGGAGCTTCTTGTCATGCTAAGATGTCAAGTCCCTCAACCCCAATGTGCCATGTTCCTTTTAAACATCCCGTGTGTAGTAGTTGTTTGAAGCTGTCAAATCAAAGCAAGCTTGCTTCTTCAATCAAACAATTCTCCAAGGATCTTAAATGCAGTTTTTTTATGTCTAGTCACAGCACTGATTCCATGTACTAGATGCATATGCTCCGTGGCTCTTTCAACAGATAAGCAGCATTTCAGACACTATTGGGTCAAAAATAGACCTATATAAATGGTTTGTAAATAATTATTTTAATATTATACAAATCATGTATTAAATACATTGAGTATTTGCTTTTGTTTAATCACTTAACATAGATGTAAGCTAACAGTAAAAGGGCATCTCTCAAGAATTTCTTGTCAGACCTGGGCCCTCATTTATCAACAATGCGTAGAAAAGGTTCTATATTTTGTCCTACGAATTAAATTTAGAATGTAAGTAAAAAAAATCCATATTTATGAAACATGCGTACGCGGTTCTTACGCACGCCAGCAAGTAATCATAGTTGATAAATCCCACATGTTCTTAAGCACCATGCTCGTTCACGTTCATGGTCATTTGCATTCAGAAATGCCTCCAATAAACCATGACAACACCTTATAAATCACGTGAATGTATAATGTCCTCACCAAAATCATGGCAAAGAAAGCGGTACCAACTGAGAAGACATCCTGTGCTCTCACTAAACAGATCAGCGTGCTCTTTGAAAACGCGTTCTCTGCACAGCTCATGGTTTGCCGAATCTTCCAGCAAAGCGAGATCAGCCATGACACTATAGCTACATTTCAAATGACTTCCCAGCTGCACGGCAAAAAAAAAAAAAGGCTTATCTTACTTAGCATTTTTGTCTTGTTTCTAGTTAAAATATATAAAAATTCTTAAATCAAGATGCATTTACTATAGAAGCAAAAAGATACTTAGTATTGTTTCCTGTGGGAAAAAAAATCTAAATGAAGTGCATTTTGCTTAAAATAAGTAAAATTACGTATCTGCCTGTGGGGTAAGAAAAATAATCTTGTTTTAAGAGGATTTTACTTGTTTTAAGTAAAATTTACTTCATTTAGCTTTTTTCCCCAGGAAACAAGACTAAATATCTTATTTCTCTTTGCTTATCTAGTAAATGCATCTTGATTTAATAATTTTTTGATATTTTGACTAGAAACTACAAAATGATAAGCCTTTTTTTGCAGTGTGTCTTTTATTGGTTTTTACACCAATTATGCAAATGTCTAGCTTGAACTATGAATTTATAAACTGAGTGTTGTGTTCTCACACAAGTGTTGTTTGATAATGCATTGAGTTAGAACGTTTTCTGTTCTGCCAAAGACACCAGCTTCCTGGTGAGTCTGTGCAACAGTACATAGCCAACTTGCGGGGATTGGCCAGCACATGCAAGTTCGGTGCGTTGCAGGACGCAATGATTCGCGACCAGCTAATTGAGCATACCAACAATGCAAAAGTGCATGAAACTCTGCTGTTAGAACTGGATGATTTATCACTGTCTCGGGCAATCACGATTGCATTACGAATAGAGAGTGCAGCTGCATGTGCGTCGGCTCTGACCAAACAGCAAACAATCGCGGACTGCTCGGCCCCCTCCCTCATGCCATCATCGACGTTACAACCCAGCCAGAACGACACATTGGCGGCAGCAGACTCCTCTGCCGTTATGCTACTGAGGCGCCAGCAGCGGTCTCGGCCACGCCCACAAGCACAAGCATCAAGGCCCTGTGATAACTGTGGATCTTCATCTCATCTGTCTAGAGCACAGAACTGCCCAGCCCGTGGCCAAACATGCAACATATTGTAACTGGTAAACGCAATCATTTTGCTTCAGTCTGCCGCTCCGCTCCAGCTGTGTCAGCCCAAACACCCACTATCATTCACAATGTCTACTCTGGACCAGTCTCATTTAAAGCATGTTCAGTGCGCCTAAATGATGTGTGTATCCCACTGCTTTTGGACACTGGTGCCAGTGTGTCTCTCCTGAATATGCACACATACAGCACTTTTTTCGGAGCACTGCCACTTTCGGCACCCTCTGCTTCACTCTGTGGCTATGGTGACTCAAAGATTGACTTAGTGGGTTCCCTGCAAGTGACTGTTGGGTATGGCAACAAGATGGTGCCCAGCTTTACCTTCCATGTTGCCCGTCGCGGGGCCAACCTGATGGGTCTGGATTTGTTCTCAGCTCTGGGATTTTCTCTAGTTGACACGAAGGGAGCTGCGATCCTGACAGTCTCCACGCCGTGGCAGGAAAAGTGGCCATCCCTGTTTGAAGGCTTGGGCTGCCTTACTGCTTTTGCCCATCAACCTCTCCTGAACCCTGCCATTAAACCAGTCATCCAACCACTCCGACGCATTCCCTTGGCTCTCCGTGATGGTGTCTCGGCTGAGCTTAAGCAGCTGCTGGAC